GGCTCCCCGCTTATGCAAATGAAGCCCGGGAAATTCAAATCCCGGGCTTCATTTGCAAGTGCGGTATGCCTACATTACCCTCCTAGTTCGAACTAGGGGGGTAGTGTAGACATACCCTCATAGACTAACTCGGCTATCCCCTGAAGCACAAAAAAATCAGTCAGGAGCTACACACAAATGAGAAGCAAAAAGCCCCAACAGGCTCCCCGCTTATGCAAATGAAGCCCGGGAAATTCAAATCCCGGGCTTCATTTGCAAGTGCGGTATGCCTACATTACCCTCCTAGTTCGAACTAGGGGGGTAGTGTAGACATACCCTCATAGACTAACTCGGCTATCCCCTGAAGCACAAAAAAATCAGTCAGGAGCTACACACAAATGAGAAGCAAAAAGCCCCAACAAAATAAAAACAAAAAAAAAACCCTCACTGATGTGACCCCTGACTGATAAGGGGAAAGACACTCCCCACATTCTCCTCACATGCCCTACTCCACCCCCATGGTGGGTGGCGGGCGACGGGGAGCGGAAGCACCAGTACTGACTCCCTAATGCTGGGACCCTTGTGTCTTGGGGGCCAGAGCCAGGGAAGCCGGGGGCTGCACCCCCAGGCCTTAGGTTCCCCACTCATCTTAAACCATTAGAGTGCATTGCTTCTTACTCACAATTGTTTCTCCGAAATGTAGCTAATGATAATTTACAGTTACATGCACATTTTAATTTGTGGATTTAAAGATGCATGACAAAGGTAAGCATATAGGAATAGCATCAATGCCCTGTGCCCGTTCCACCCTGATAATCCCTAAGGCTGCAGCCCTTGAGAGGATGGAGTGCCATGGAGGAGAAAGGGTGGGACAGTGGTGGGAAGGGGCAGCGCATGGAGGATGGGAATGGCCTTCCCCCCTCAGCCTGCTAGGACTCCCGGGGAAGACTGCAAAACTGCTCTGCTTTGGGATGTCCTGGAGGCCATGAGTTTGAGAACCCTGCTCTAAGGCCTTCCTATAAGTAAAATGCAATTAAAACACCCCTTTTATGGCCAAACCTCTAATAATGCTCCACACCCCTAAAAAAACCCCCTAACCTAAGCCACATTTTAACACCAAAAAGAGGTGTGGCTGGGGTTCCATGAAATCCATTAGAGACTCCGCTGTTGCTGTTTTTTGTATGAAAGATGCTCATACGCTATTGTGATGGACGAAAATATAAAACCTTAAGATAGATGGTTACCTTTTTTTTTTTCCAGGGAGGCATTGTGGCTTAATAGATGAGATTCTGTGTTGTCATGTCAGAGACCTTATTCTACTCCCAAACTCTGCCACCAACTTCATCTGTTGTTTTGGACCACCTCTGAATCCTTATTTACTCCATTTGCAGAATGAGGGGATTTATATTTACTTCTTGTAGTGGAGTGGTGTGAAGTGTGAATCCTTAGTAAGGGCATTCAGTGGAAGAGAACATCATCTGGTTTCTAAGGGTATCTATATGGCATTCCTCCTTTGAGAGAGGAATACAAATGCAGACAAACGAAATTACAAATGAAGCGCAGTGAAGGGTTATTTCAAAAGAAGGGTATTTTCTCGAAAATAACTGCATTTAAACAGCATTTTTTATCTTGAAATAGGGTATTTCGATAAAGCAGCCGGCCACGATTATTCAAATGAAGTATGGGAAATTCAAATCCGCGCTTCATTTGCAATTTCGTTTGTCTGTATTTGCATTCCTCTCTCGAAGGAGGAATGCAATGCAGACATACCCTAACTTAGTATTCCTTCTTAAACTAAAGATATTTTGTTAAGACAAGTATGGTCTCTTTAAATAGTGTCTGTCCCTCACAGCATACCGAAAATTCCTTTCCCAGGAGGCAAGTCTTTTAAATTTGTTCTCTTTCACTAAGCATCAAGAAAACATACACACACACACACACACACACACACACACACACTCTCGCTCTCTCGTTCGTTCGTTCATTTTCTGAATTATGTTCTCCTGTAAAGATCTGATATAATGTTGGCAAACTATTAGGATTTTGCATTACAAAATCTAATCCTTATATGCAAAATAAATTTTTAATCCTCTAGTTTTACATGTTACACGCATCACTTATAATTATTGATTTAAATATGTTCCTTTTCCTCTTTTTTATTAATGGTCTAGAGCTTATCAAGAAGTTCCTTGGGATAAGATGTTACCACCCAGAGTCCCACAGCCAGAGTCAACACTAGAAATGATGGCTGATCCCATCTCCCAGTGTTTTACAATAAAGAGATACGATCCTGCGCCAGAAATAAGCCAGGTCAATTAACCTTTTTGTTTCATTGACAACTTAGGGTTTTGCTAATGAAGCGTGCAACCACAAATTACGGCCTCCTCTATAATCTACTAGAGAGAGGCCAAAAAAACAACAAGAAAAACCCTATATCCAAACACCCATAGTTCCATAGTTTGGGAAAGTCCAAAGCTGAATCCTGACTTGACAGCTCAAGTTTACCTTTTGTTTTATTACATGATATCCAACAAAACAAGTGGTTAGTAAAAGAGTCAGTTCATGAGAATTCAAGGATGTGCAACAAGTATTTACAAGCTACAAAAACCATTTACTGTAAATATAATGCCCACTGATATCAGTAGGAAACTTTTCTTTATAGCTAGTTGGAAATGGGGGAGAGGGTTCCATTACAAATTTCAGTGAAAATGGAAAAAATAGTTTTAGTTAAAATTTCCTACAAAAAGGTTTAGACTTTTAGTTATTCCAATCAAAAACTTTTTTTAAAATGCTGTCAAGGTGTCTGATTAGTGGGCAGTTCAAATTACATGTGCTCTGATTCTCTTCTCTAACTGGGCCTTTGGGCAAGAGATGTAGTCTGGACAAGGAGCTTCGTCCATAAAGGAGAATTGGGAAATGAGGAAATCAAACTACAGCTACAGGGGAAAATGAACTATTCTCTCGCCTCTTCAGGGCAAGGTTGTGGTTGTACCCGTAGAGTGTACAGTATGGAGAATCTCCTCTTTCTGTCTCATACTATATCAATGTGGAAGTTTATTTGAATCTAAATATTTTTATTTTCAGTTGTTCAGTATGGGTACATCTACACAGCATGGCTAAAGTCGTAATAAGCTATTCAACTTCTGCTATGTCAGTTGAGTAGCTGAAGTCGAAATAGTTTCTTTTGGCACTCTCTACACAACAGGAACTCAAAGGAAGAACGCACTTTCTTCAACTTCCCTTATTCCTCGTAAAATGAGGGTTACCATGAGTCGGAGTAAGAAGTCCTCCAGCTCAACATTATGTCGAAATAAAGGCTTGTAGAGTAGTCATGCTCTTTGTTATTTCATGAATTAGTTCGAAATAATGCTGCTGTGTAGACGTACCCTTTTTTATGAAAAATTAAATTTTTCATAGAAAGCACACTTTTCATGAAAAGTTTCATTTACTCAAAAAACCAGTTTTCTATTAAACAATTTTGATGGATAATTTTTGACTAGCCTTCTTCCTTTTTATTGATTTTTCAGTGTTCACTGGACCAGGCCCTTAGTTTTCTATATTTTTTACAAATTCAAACTGCAACATAATATTAAAACATATAGTCCCCTTTATTAGAACGCTAATGAAACAGGATTGGATGGCTTTGGAGATTCTTCATGAATCTTACTGGTCTAAATCCAGTGAAGAAATGTTCCCATCTGATAACTGCTAAATCGCCTGTTTGAATTGAGTCTCTATCTAGTTTCTATTGGGCAAATGTTCACATGACAAAAAATGTCATCACAATTTATACTAATTGGCACCTTTGGCAGCAGCCAATCAGGGCCAAGTTTTGAACTGGCGGGGAAAATGACATATTCTCTCGCCCCTTCAGGGCAACGTTGTGGTTGTACCCCTAAAGTGTACAGTATGGAGAATCTCCTCCTTCTGTCTCATACACAAAATATGTAACTTCCATACCGTCTTAAAATTGATTGACTGTAAATATATCACAAATCAGAAGATAAAGTGCCATGAGGTATGCATCAGGCTGCTTAGGAAATTCGTACCAAAACTATGGGATTCATGCTCACAAATGTAAGAATGCTTCCTTTAGTTTTCAAGAGAAAAGAGCAGGGCCACAATATTCACAGAGCAGTTTCTGCCAATTGACTCAGAAAGTAGCTTTTCAGTTGACTTCACAGGGAATGCCTTCTTATTTTCTCTTTTCTAAATACTGCATGCAGAAAACAGAGCAATACATGCACACTATCAAAGCAGAGAAAGGAATCTATGAAAAAATGAGAGTAGAAATGACTGCATCACATAAAAAAGTGTACAATGTATTTATTTTATGTAATTTATGATTTTTATCAATTTTAATTTTCCTAAGGTGACTACTATAATATTTAGAAATTAATAACAGAGGTGGTTATTTATTACAACCCAGTGGTGTGCACAATTAGGTGATTCTGGAGCCACATTTGCAAACACCGCTAACCAAAAGCCGCATGATTACTGAATGCCCTATGCATCACCCCACCAAACACATAGGTACAGTAATTTTCAATGTATAACTATGAATAGAACTAAATATTCTAAAATTTTCAAATACATTTTCAGTGCAATGAAAACTAAATTTAGCTAAACGGTTGGGTGAACACACCATGCTGTTCATTTTGTTCCCTCCACCCACACCTTTACCATTCCATTCAGCAAAATGCTATTTACAACATCCCTTGGATTCTTGGATGCCTAGGCCTACAAAGACAGGAAGTCTCCCTCCTGAAGCTTGCTCTGACTCTGAGCTTTACTTGCCCTGTTCCTCCAGTCGACTGAGTCCCCACACTGCTGAATGGAGGGAGACGAGCAGGGGCTTTCTCCCTTCAGGAGCCCCTTGAATCAGTTATTCGTAGCGCTCTGCAAGGGAGCCTTGAAGAGCTGCAGGCTACACATGAAAGACCTACATGTGGCTCACGAGCAGCAGACTGGGTATCACTGTTATAACCCAAGCCCCTTGAGTGAAAGGACCACGAGAAACAGTTTATTTTGGAATCTTCTTAGCGGGAATCCAGACCTGCAGCAGAGTTAGTCTCCTCACAGCCTGATCGCTGCAACTGGCCTCCATCAGGCTGCCTGATTAGCCACACAACCTGGTTGGTGCAGAGGATAGCAGGCTGGCTCTTAGGCCAGAAGCAGCAATAGTTTGGTAGCCTTTTAGTGCTTATGTCCACCACCTAAGTTCCCCCTAAGCTGTGCAGCTTCCCATTAAGTCATGTGCAGGGCCTCAAGGTTGCAGCAGGGAGAGACCTCTCTCCCCAAGCCCGACACTGCCATGGAGTGCAAACAGGAGCCCGTTCCCACTGGCACTGAGCACCGTGCTGACATGGTTGAGGGAAGGGGAGTCCCTTCTCCCTGTTCCCAGCAGGAGGCTGCCCAGGTAAGCCTGAGCCCCAACCTCCTGTCCTATGCTGAGTCCCCCCTCCCAGCCTTGAGCCCCATCCTGTGCTCCAAAGCTCTCATCCATGGCCCCATCCCAAAGCCACACCCCCAGCCCAGAGCTTGTACCTCCCTCTTGCATCCCAAACACCAACCCTCAGCTCTGAGCCCTTCCCAGACCTGGAGTCCCCCCTCCTGTAACCCCTCATCCCCAGCTCCACCTCAGAACCTGCATCCCCAGCCAGAGCCTTTGCACCCCAACCTCCGTATCAGCCCTGAGTCCCTGAACCCCAGCCCCACCCTAGAGCCTGCACCCCAGTTGAAGCCCTCTTGCACCCCAGCCCTCTGCCTCAGCCCTCCCACACTCAGAACCTCTTGACCCCACTCCGACCACATGATCTTTATGTGCACCAATATGAAAGGGATGTGTCACAAACCACTTCTTTGTCACACATCACCTCCACACCAGTGCACCTATGAAAATTCATTCTGCTCCAGGGTGGGAAAAATTAGAGGGGACACTGCCCACCATGGCACCTGTTTTTTTCCTGCTGCTCCTGCCTTGTACTCAGTTCTGTCTCTGTCCTGCTCCTCTCTTGTACCCCTCCTGGCCTAATCTGCTTGTTCCAGTTCCTGACCTCCAGTTTGACCCTGGGCTCTGGCTCCTGAAGAATGACTCCAGCTCTAGTAATAAGTTTCTTCCTTTTGTCTTTGACCCTTGGCTTTGGTCCTGATGACAGACTATGGCTCTGATTTTGACCACTAGGCTAGACTGCCCTCAAGCTAGTTGGGTGATACTTCCAACTTGGCATGTTGTCTATTAAATTTACTTAGGTATCTTTTTTAAAAAGGATAAAAACACTATATCTTGTGTTCTAGATGCTATACTGTATTTTTGATTGTAAAATGATATTTAGGAAACTAAAGCCCAGTCCTGCAACTGGATCTGTACACGCCAGATCTGATTTCAAGATCAGGAAACAAAAATGTATCCAGCTTATCACATTAGAAGATATTGTGTAACACAGAGCTCATGTGTCAAGAAATACTTTGTGATTCTAGGTTGTTGGAGGACTCTGGGATAGATTTCAAACAAGATCCTTTACTTCACCGCAAAAACCAATTAATTTGTAAGTTTCTTTTAAAATATATTTCATTGTCTTAATCACCGTGCTTCCTTTATGGATCTCTCTATGTGTATATTATAGTTCCTTTTTCAAAGATAGTTGCACAGATTTAGGATGAACAGATATCCGGTTTTTCACGGGAGCACCAGGTAGAAAAGGACCCTGGTGGCTCCAGACATCACCATGTCATGAAAAATCTGTTCAGCAGTGCTGCAGAACCAACGCAGTCTAGTCCCCACCAGTTGTGGTAATGCACTGAGCCCCAGAAACAGCCAGAAGGTCTGATTTCTAGGCAGGAGAACCTTGGGGTTCTGCACGCTGTCTTCACCCCAAACACTAGCTCTGCACTCCCATTGGCCAGTTCCCATTGACCAGTTCTGATATAGAGGCAGCAGTGCAGAGTTGCAGTGGGCTCCTCAGGAGTGGGGCTGGAGCACACTGGCTGCTGGCTGCCCCCCCTCGCCCGTCCCTCCCCCCCCCCATGGACTATAAAATAGTTGACTAACCGCTAAGAATTCATGCTGTTATTTGACTGTTCTGTTACCCTCTATCTAACATCCCTCTCATTTCTGGCCCCATCCCATCTGGCACCTCCGTTTAGAGTCCTTACACCCTCCCACACGTCAGCCCTCTGCTCCAGCCTAGTGAAGGCGTATGAGGGTGGGAGACAGCGAGCCACTAGGGGAGGCAGAATGTAGTGAGCAGGGCCTCAGGAAGGGGGGTGGAGCCAGGGCGTTCAGTTTTATGGGATTAGAAAGTTGGCAAATAGCTAGAGAGGTTCCCAGAGGTTAATTATTCTATAATAGCTGCACCTCTGACTTTTTTCATTGAACAGATGCAGTTTTATTATTGTAGAGATTTTACTTGTAGTATATGTTTACAAAATCCAAGGCTTAGTCCTTTTTGTATAGTGTTAGAAATGATCTCAGAATGCATTTC